TACATTCTTATGAATTGAATTGTAAGGGGAACCCCAGATCAGTTTTTTGTTTTTTTATGTCCTTAATGGACAGCAAAATTTTGTAAACAATGTGTACTGTCCCTTTAAAGCCTATCTACATTTTGTAAATAAATCTACCCTTGCATTTAGGGATACCCCACACTGCAAGGGTTAAGGGTTTGCTTATAAAACACTATATTTTTACATAAGGATGTTAAGAGACAGTTTATGTGCTGGAGTCCTCTTCAGTATACCCCTAGACATAAACAAGCAGTTTTTTTGTTTTTTTTTACCTAGATGTATGCTTCTTGTATGCTATACAGGAAAAAAAACTGCATGGGGTCCCCCTAAAACTACATAAAAGATACTTAACTAGGCATTTATCATAGGTGGCCAGAAAAAGGGGCTCCTTAATGAGCCATACTAGGCCACAAGCCCTTAACGCTCGATGAGTACCTTGCAAGGATGGGGGTGCAAAGCACCTTGCCCCCAGGTGTATGGGGAAAAGGGCCTCATCCCCACATCCTGTCCCCCAAAAGGGATGTGGGGCTCTGCAGAGGGGGCAATCTACTGGAATCTGAAAAGCACCCATTAGAATAAATGAGGCCCCCATACTGGAACAGTCCACAATTCCAGAAACTCTTCTCTATAACAAACCCTTTTTCTCCTATTGTAACCCTGTGATAGGGGGACATTAGATTGTAAGCTCCTCTGGGGAAGAAAATAAGGATAACGGTTCTCTATATTCTGTAAAGAGAATTAAAAACAAATAAAAACAAATCTGATATTGGATCAAAATATCTGAAGTTGATACAAATATTTTGATAAGGGCTAGTTCACACCAAACGCGTTCCAGGAGCAGAGCAGAGCAGTTACAGAACGGATCAAAACTGCATCCAATGTACTCCAATGGTATTTTGGGCTCTAGTTCACACCAGAGCGTTCAGTTCCAGAGCATGCATAAAAAACACATGCAAACACCCAGGAACGCACTGAAAGCCCATTTTAAACTAAAAAACGGCCCAAAACACGGCAAAAAACACGGCAAAACACACTGCACTGCGTGTGCAGAAACTAATGCAGATCTAGTCTGCATTTGGTGTGAACAAGCCCTGAAGGTTGATCAGCTTACCTTTTCCTGAGAGCTCAGAACTTGTAGAATGCTACAGAGCAGTTCAACACATAATTTTTTTTCCTTCATTTGTGGTAGATCTTGCCTGCCATTGTTTAACCATGCTCTCAGCTCTTTGGTGATCATTGGCAGTAAAATATCACGACATTCTGGAAATATTTATAAACATTGTGAGCAATTGATAACATACATAATAAACATCGGCTGATTTTAACATTAGGCACAGTGAGCATGTGCCTATAGGGGGCAGAAACAGAGCGGCATTTTACATATATATATATATACTGTATATATTGTGAGGGATTCGCTCTGCAGCAGGGCGTGTATGACTTCCTGGATGAGTTTACATTATTTTAAACAGGCACAGCAAACACCAGTTCTCTGTGAAACAGACATGCAATTTATTTACAAAGACTATATACATTATGTACAGGAGAAAAAAACAGAAAAGCAGAATGAAAAAAGGAAAATAAATCTTTGCTACTGGATAAAAGTGCCCATACACTTATCGATTATCATTCATAAACCGTCCATGAATGGTCTTTCGAATGATAATCAATCAGTTGATGTGAACCCAACTATTTATTTTACTGTACTCCTGGCTGAATTTTCTCGAAGGGTGAGGCTGTAAACCTTTTTTCGAATGGTACGAAAATCGATGGATTAGTGGCGTTTTCGTTTGAAAAAAATTGCAACAAGAACACTGGTCATGCGCAAATGAAAATCCATTCTGTCGATCGACAAAATTCCGTGAGTCAGTATTGCTAACGAATGATTTTTGAAATCAACATTGGTCTATGCATGATGGGGTATTCGAGCAGAAATCGAACAAGGGTTCAATGACCGCACGAAAGAAATCGAACGATAATCGCAGAGCGTATGGCCAGCTTAACAGACCTGGAGCAACTTACAGCTACCCAAGTATAAGTCCAAAGCTAACAGACCAAACAACCTCCGCTCCCTCGGTTATTTAAAACAAAGTAAATATTCAGCAAACAGCAATCTTGGACACGCATATCTTCCCATCCTGGATACAACCAGAAGTTTTAATTGGCCTAATATATATTAACCTTACTGGAGCTTAATTGTAGAGCCATACCCCGCTGTGTAACCTGTCACGGAGCCTCGGCGGTGAGGGACAGGGAGGCTCCTCCCTTCCACTAGCTTTGGGGCGGGGCTTTGTCAGGCGAGGGGCTTTGGCCATCAGGAGGCGGAGTTTCGGCCGGTGGGGGTGGGGCTGGGGAATACCTCACCCAAGCAAGAGGTACCGCACGTCACTGGTGCACACACTACATTTTTTCACTGCAACTCACAGTATTGTGGTACCGCAGGAGACCATCAGGATTGTGTGTTGGGGTGCCATTCAAATAAATGGCAATGCACCCAGCGCACGGTACCGTATTCTGTGTGATAGCATGGTATCACATGTTTAATGCAATGCATGGTGTGAATGGGCACATCGGTACAGTGCTGGAGAGTAAGGAAATACAGCACAGCAAATAAAAGGGATAGCTATTAAAGGCAAACCACCAAAAATGACAATATATCACAAATGTGTGTGATTCCCTGATATATGTTACAGGGAGTTACACGTATATAACACACACTGTCACTTGTTCAGTTATGAAAAGAGTTGTTCAATAACAAGGTAAAAAAGTTGAAATACATTACATTCATGTTGCTAAAATGATTGTTACACAAAAAAATGTCATCGAAATTAACTATGAAATGTTAAACTTACCTTGCTTTTTGAACAGATTACTGCGAACAATCTCATTCAATGACTGCACTTTCTGTTGCTGTAACTTGACAGGAGGGATACAGGCATAGAAATCGTACAGCAGCTGGCTATAATAATAAAAACAAAATGGTAGAAGAATTGTAAAATAGTGTCATGTTTTAAATGTATAGCATTGTCCTGAATCACTTTTTCAGTTTCTCCATATGTCGCTGTATCTTGTACAGTATTAATGATAATCTCCTCCCTACAGTTTGGATTTGGAGTGAGAAGCCCGGGAGAGGCTTAGAGGATTTTGGGGCCCAAGGTTTGCGGCTGTACTGGGCTCCTCCCTACAGTTTGGATTTGGAGTGAGAAGCCCGGGAGAAACAAAATAAACTTTTTTGGGGCTTCAGGAGCAGGAGAAGATTTGCCAGTTCGATGCTTAGGCTTCTTCTGCTGTGGTAAATGAGTACTCTTACCACCAGTGACATCCTTTATTAAATTATCCAGTGAGGCACCAAAAAGACATTTAACATTGCACAGCATGCGAAGCAAGTGTTTTACATTGCTGTTCCACAGAACAACATGTCAGCCAAAGAAATGTTCTCATATTCAAAGACAGGATAGTCATTCAGGAAATAACATGGATAATAACAACTATGCCATCAATTAAATAAAGTAGGGCTGAAAGTAAAGTGCTCTACAACTAATCCACTCCCCTAAGGTCTGATATCTCAACTATGGCAGGTTAAATAGCAGGACCTGGTACTGAAAACAAGGATTTATTGATGGGATTCATGTAAGTTCATGAGGATCTATGTAGGTCCATGGGCTCAGTGTTTTATTAAGGCAGGATATCAGAAGATCCACAACAGGATCAATCCAGGTGAACTAGAAATGTTTTGATAGTCTTGGGCCCTTTTAGACATCTTAGACTAGTAACAGCATTAGTAGAAGCCACAGGCTGTTCCATTTTAATGTAGGACTTATCAATAAGAGCCTGAGAGCGAATTCAGCTGACTGAGGCTCTTCAGAAACAAATTCATCAATCAATGATTTGTGAGAGTCCATCTGAAGCAGAAGGCTCAAAAGCTACTACAGGTGCAGGAATGCCTAAAAGTGATTCTGTAGAAGAGGTGTAGATCCTCTGTTTTCAGAGTCACAATTTCATCATTTCAATTTGGCCCATAGAATCCAGCATTACTGGAAAACTTCTCTCTGGATGAGGTAGAAAAGGAAGCCACACCTAATGGAGTATGGGAAAGTCTATCAGTGTCAGGTCCTTTAGGAGGGATTCTGCAATCCAACCCACAACTGATGCATTGGGACTATTCCTTTTCCTCTTGTGATCTGACATGTTGTACTGCTTAACACGTTATTAGTGAACACCAGGTAAAAAAATTACTTGTTTTACTCCCAACCAGCTGCTTAAGCTGAAGCAGTTTAAAGATGGCCAGGTCACTGTAACAGACAGCAAGCTCAACTGAGGTATTACCCATGTGTTTCTTGCAGATAAGAGCAATGGTGGGAAGAAGCACCTCATGGTGAATAAAAACAGAGCAGGAACAGAGTGGGGAATGCACAACGTGTTAACCGTTTCTGCAGAAACTAACAGAACAAGGGCACAATGGTGCTATTCAAAGTTACAAGATTGTATAGTAGCTCCTCACGCCATGTATGGCATACTTATCAGGGTTTTCAGAGTCTGTTTCACACCAGAGACTGTGCCATGGCTCTGGACCTGGAAAATGCTCTACAGCTAACTAACATAGTACCTAATGGTTTGGAAAGTGACACAGACAGAACCCAGTGCCTGAAGGTACACATTTTAAGCAGACCCCACAATCTTTGAGCAAGGTCCAGGGGTCCAGGTGTGACCTCCAAGGCATCACTGAGGATTAGGCAACCTTGGTAGCTGCAAAGAAAGCACAGTTTAGCAGCATGTGAATTAGGTCTTGAAAAAATTAAATAACTAGTAAAAAGGGTAAACTTTTCTTAGTAGAGAAAAGATGGCCTAGGACACTAGCAAAAAAACTAAAGCATGCCGGGAGTGGGAGGGGTTATAACTGGCTGGTCAATGCTTTTTTATTTGCTAGTGTCCAATTCCTCTTCTAGGGAGGCAGAGCCAGCTGGCAATCAGCCAGCGGGGTGGATGTCAACAATATTGTCGGGATCTGCCCCGGTTGCGGCTCTGCGCTCTCAGTATTGCCCTCCTATGACCCTGAAGAGAACTATGGCCAAAAAGGGTTGGGGCATAGTTTTCCTTTAATGAATGAAAACAAATTTCTAGCATGGCAAAAAAATCTTTGGCTGGAATTAGACTTTAAAGAAATTCTGTAATTAGAGATACATTGTATATGCCATTGCTGACCCTTCCTTTTTAAAAATGCTAGTTGTCTGGCTGCCATGCTTATGTTAATACTTTTTAATCATTTGGAACAGACAAGGATTTCTGACTTTTCTCTGACTTTCCTGAATTGCATACTTTTATTGTGTCAATTAAGTGGCTCATAAATTACCCAAGCCAGTGGGTCAGCAAAAGAGCCTGAAAACTAACATTTTCAGAGGGAAGTCGCAATGGCAGTCTCCATATTGCCTTTATGACAGGTTTTCTTACCATACCATCTTGGGCTCAGTCCCCTACACTAATCGCCCATTTCCCTTTTAATAAGGCCCCCCTAAATTTAGGTTTTGTTCTCTTTAATACATATTTTTTTTTATGTCTTCCGCCCAATCATGTGATATGCTTGGTCTTCTTCCTCTTCTCTTCCTTGCCTCCTCTGCGGCCCAGGGTGGTTCTCTGCTGATGTAGAGAGTGGCGCTGACATAATGATGCCAGCACCGTTTTCTGCTTCAGTACCCTACGAATTGGGGTGCCATGGTGCTAAATTCTTATGGGGAAAATCCATGACACCCATTTGTCTTCCCAGTGTAATTCAACACAAAAGAATGAGGACACCTTGTGGCAAAAGAGACGTACTGCAGTGGCCTGTTTCAGAAGGTGAGCGTTGCAACCTAAATTTACCCTGCTTAGAAGCCACTTAAATGGAAAAAAATCCTGGAGTTGTGTTTTGACAGTTAAAATATTGATTCATATATTTAACAGTTACCTAAGCATTCTGGCATCAAACACTGTCTCCACATCTTGAAGAACTGCTGGTAGATATTTCAGAGCAGCAACCTAAAAAATACAATAAAACAGTAAAATAACAATTCTTCTGCTGATATAACATAATGTAGTAGTGTCTGTGAAGATTCTCATTCATCCAGGTCATGGTATATCTGTAAAAAATAAGTCAAGGCAACTGGATTTGCTGTATTTTTCTTAAAGATGGTTCACTGGTCGTCTGGTCGTGAGAAAGCTGGTTGGACGACAAGTGAAACGTCTTCAAGAAAAATACAGCACATCCAATTGTCTTGACTTATTTTTTACAGATATAATGTAGTAGTGTCGTCATTCCAGGAAAACTCAAGCGTGCTTTTAAATATGTATAAATTTTAAGATTTAATAGGTTACTCTCACACTATAAATGTTTGATCATGTTATGGTGTGATATTGATGACTTCTAAAACATACAGTTGTTTAATTGTCATAACTAGTTTGCAGAAAGATAGACAATTTCCTAAATCTAACCTGCATCAAGGTTTCATAGATTTGCCTCATGTTTGCCTACTTTTTGCAATAGTATGCAAAACAAAATGTTAGCGTAATGGCAACAATGTAGTTAGATAAATAATAGAATAAAGATGAGTAATTAAGTGTATCCTACCAACAACGGTAATCAAGCAGGGTTTACAGCAACAACTTTCTAGATAATGTTTCCAAAATAAACCTGCTTTACCATTGTCCATATAACAAAAATAAATGTTAGCTTTTTGGCGACATTCTTTTAAATAAATATTAATGTATTTTATTGGTATCTATCTACCAGTAGCTGCCTCATTTCCCACCCTCGGCTTATATTCGGGTCAATACTTTTTCCCAGTTTTTTTTGCTAAAATTAGGTACCTCGGCTTATATTCGGGACGGCTTATACTCGAGTATATACGGTACTTATTTAATGGAAATTATGGCCCTACGGTGGATGTAAAGAGATAGATAATTATACAGTGTCCTACCAATAACTGTAATCAAGTAGGGACCCTTTACACATTTGTGGCATGGTCAAATGTATGTATAACAGCATACAAAATGCATGACGAGTTGGGTGTCATTATAACCAATGGTATGGTTTTCATCTCTGCCTCTAATACATGCAGTTCCATTTTGCAATCCTTTCCACATAGAGTTCCTATTTGAAAACTGCACAAATATTAATAGCATAGCAAAAAAAAAGTGGAACTAAAGTCAAATGTTGATTTTAAATCCACTGTTTCATGACTCCATAACAGGCTGCATTTAGGTCCCTCTTTCACTTCAGCCTGTTCACCACAATCGTGTGAAGCAGCTATCGGAGCCACAGCAGACAGGAAAAAGTAGAAGGAAAAACTGCAGCCAGTGGGACATGAATTAAGTCCTTATTGGTTCACAAGTATTTCATCAATGTAATTTTAGCAAGATTTGACTTTAGGTCTGCTTTAGGTATGCCATTTACTAAAACAAGTATGCTGAAATGCTGAACAGTATTGGGCATCTTTGCATTAAGATGTATAGTTATAGACTATTGTGCTGTACTTTTAGGGCAGGATCTCACTGTTTGAAGCTGAATATCAAACATGTAAAAACAGTAAGTCTAAATAATGATAGCCTAAACACCCTCCAGTTCCCAACTCGCACTACAACTCACAATCTCCAACTCTTCTACAATCTTACTGATACTAAATGACACTAAGCAATGGCAGTCACTGCTCACTCCCATCTTTCTTCCTAGTACACAACACAGGCAGTGTGTTCTGTGCAAAGAGATTTGTTTATACTAGGAGAAAAATCTATGTATTTTACCAAGGCTAACAGGCTGCTGCAGACAGGGGAAAACTGTTTTCTGTTTCAGATGGTATGCTAGGGATGTCTGTCAATATTCTACCAAACTAATAACATAAATAGGGGTGACACAGATCATTCATTATCCACCCTGCCTTATCTGTGCTGCAGGTTGTGGCTGTGTATATGTTGTAAGGTCATGTTCCCAAGGTTGGCGAAATACATAATCAATCTACTTCTATAAAGTTATTCAAATCAATATTGAAGTAGAACTACATGATTACATAAGAATACTTAGTTGTAGAGCACTGTAAGTAAAAAAGGATAGCATTGTTTTTTTTGTTAAAGCCAATCTCTGGGAAAAATGTAAGCCTCATTCTGCCCTACACAGAAAAAATAAGTAGTACAGTATAAGGAGAGATACACAGCCTGTTTGTAGCCCATATAGCCCATATAATTTAGAGTTAGAGACAGCCAAAAAAAAAGCTGACACGGATCTGCAAATAAAGTAAAATAGAGGCACTTTGTATTAATTCTCATTTAAAATGTTTACAAATGTAAGAATATAGCTTATTAAAAAGTGTTTTCAAACTTGTAAGCCTTCAGAAACAAAATGACAAAAACCATAATAGCTTCCCATTAAATAAAAGCTGGACTGTTCTTTAAGGTAACTAGATGAATGTCTAGGGGTCCCCTATAATATATATGTTCAATTCACTAAGCTATAGCACATGTTCTACTTGCCATATTGCCATGTATAGCAGCATTTCTCAACTTTATTCAGTCACGGCACCCTTTAAAAGTATGAAAAATCTCAAGACATCCCAGTCGAAAATTACATTTTTTTTTTAAATGACGTTTAGTGTCCCCCAAAATATATACCAGACCCTTATTCTAGATAGATGTATAGATTTTAAGGGAGGACCTCACACACAAAAAAATTGAAAAACAGAGTTGGATTTTCCACCTTCAAATCAGAGGACCTCGGACCTCATGTTTGAAAAATGTCTAATGCATATAGGAAGTTTCCATAGCCTGCAAATGTATTAAGATGATAAAAGGAAACCAGAAGGTATTTACATTTTGTATTTACTTTCTATAGTTGTCCTGATCACCAATATCAACGGGAATAAAATGCATCCCAAATTTTGACTTGCCACCAAAACATGAATGGGGTCATAACTGTTTAAGAAGGGATCACCTTCACATTGGAAAGATGACCTTTCACTTTCTGTTGAATCTACGGGACAGGAAGCGAAATCTCCCATATGAGGCACAGATGACAGAAAATAACAGGGGTTTTAAACCTCCCTACTTTATCCAGCAAAAAAAAAAAAAGTTTTAGTTCCAGATATACTTTTAAATCCACACCAACACTAATTATTCTTATCAGTTCAAGTGAAGAATTCAAATCATGTACAAAAGTCAAGGAAATTTAGGTCAGTCTCTGTGTTCCCTATTATCAGTTATATTTGATGTGCATTATTAGTTTATTGGAGAATATGGTTTTAACAATTTGTAATTTGCTGCATGCTGGTGTTTTCTCGTTTTCTGTGGGCACATGAAGTCATAGTTTTAGAACCAACAAGTAATTTCACCTCCTCCTAATGTTTTAAAACAAAAAGTAAGAAATCTGAAATCTTAACAAATCCAGCAAACCAGGGTGGCTAGCATTTAACTTGCTAAAGTGAAGGGTTATGAAATCGCAGCCACCAAGAGGTGGCCAAACTCAGGTTTTGACCCTACCCACACTTTTACTACGCATGTCATATCATGAAAGCTCCCTATATACCGTAAACAGCAATGTTCAGCTTCTCTCTTTATTTAAATGGAGAAAATAACCAAGTATTGCCTAGTAATTTTCCATGTAAACATTAGATGCCTTTAATATATTACAGTGAACATTATCCAAATACATGACATACACTTAACATTCAATCATCACTAATACCTAGACAGTCAATTAAATTTGTTTTACTGTATAAAAATAGTCTTATGTTGCTGCTCTGCAATTTAACAATGAGCCAAGAACAAACCTTACCTGCAATAGGATGGTAGTTTTGTGCTCACACTTCATCAGGCTATTAATGGATTCGAAGAGCTTTCTCATAGATTCCTCAAATTCAGTCTGCTCCTTGCCTTCATACAGTCTAGTGGAAAACAGAAATTATACATCATTTGAGACAGTAACTTATCTTATGAGAATGCATGTTAGTGCAGGTCACCATAAATCAGTAAAGTAAATATAGTAAAATGAAAGCATGGGTTTGTTAATAACTAAGCATTACTGTAAAAATAGACTTCAATAAATGATCTTAGCTATGCAACATACTATTCATTTAATATTGTGGCTTTTTATATTAAGCGCTCATATTTATTGGTAATCTAAAAACCCCAGGTCTAAATGACAGGTACTTTATACATTACAGGAGAGCACATTGTACTTTAGTCAAGGATTTGCAAACATTTAGGTGGTTATTCACTTAGCTGCCAAAGCCAGCCGAGTGAATAACGGAGCCGAACTGAAGTGAGCCGAACGCTGTTCCGCTATTCATTTCACTTCAACCTTGTACGGCTGATTTCAGACGTACATTGGCTAAAATCAGCCGTACATCGGCTGCCTTCAGTCAGCCGCACATGCTCTGCATGTTTGGCTGAGCCGAAGTGCAGAAGGAGTATGACTCAGCCGATCCAACATCTGGATCGGCTGAGTCGAAGCTCCAGCAGCTCACTCGCTGCCATTCGCCCCTATTCTAATAGGGACCTGAATGGCAGTAAGTGAATAACTCAGCTTTTCTGCTCGGTACCCCCAACGTAGCGAGCAGAATAGAAAAAAAGTTAAATGAATGAGAAAACAAAAAGGAAAAATTATTTAAAATGTGTAAAAAATAGGAAAATTAAGACAAAAAGACAAATATATTAAAGAAAATAAATAAAAAACAACGCACGCCGACCCGACCGCACAAGATGAACACCCGTCGCATAATGAACCATCTGACAGATGCATGCAAAATAAAAACGATTGGGCGGAGCTAGCTGTGACATCACCGCTAGCTCCGCCCAACTGTTTCCTATTGGACTGCACCTGCCACAGTCTTCTAGCAGGTCCCGGCCAATGAATAACAACTTGTTATTATTTAATGCAGGTTTATTATTTAGCAGGTCCCGGCCAATGAATAACAACTTGTTATTATTTAATGACAGATCAGCGTCCCCAGGTCATTTGGAGACGCTGATCTGTCATTACAACTGGGCGGAGCCAGCCATGAGATCACAGCTGGCTCCGCCCAGCTGTCATTTGCTTCGGCCAACTTTTCTCCACGCTTCGGCTGTGAATACGGCGCAGCCGAGCTGAAGCATATGGGTTCGGCTCGGTTGAGCCACTCGGCTGCTGTACGGGCTATAGTGTGCTGGTGTGCTGTGGATCCATTATAAGAGGTCTATCACAGAGGTCGTTCAACCAGCGGCTACTTAGGGGATGAGCGCTACATGAGCAATGTATGCTTTTCTACCAAATCCACATATGGTATTAGTGCCCCTGTTGTAATTTATAGCATATGTTTACTTAAGCTAGAACATTAATGGATCTTTCAGGATTCATCCTTACAGAGAGTAATCATGTATTTATTGTCTATTATTTACATAATAGTGCACAACAGGGTTTTTAATGCATTCTTCTTACTTTGCTTTTTTAAAGCATTTTCTGAATTCACTTAAAGGAGAATTATGAAGAGTGAAATGCCCTCAACCCCATAGTTAGAGCCAATGTGTGACACTAAAGCTGAACTTTTATTGATCAAGAACTGAGAGATCACATACCGTTAACCACTCAGATCACAATTTTCTCCCTGCAGAGAGCAGTCACTATAAGTCATTGCTCCCCGCAGAGATTCCCCCCCTCCCCTCTCTGTTCCTCCAGCGCTGACTGGAGGTAAAGACAGGGGAGGGGGTGGGCACAGCAGGCTCCGCCTCTAGAGAGTGTAATTGTATGTAATATTGTAATACTTAATAATTGTAATAATTGTATGTAATATTATAATACTTAATAATTCCTGATGTTGCGTTGAAAATACTTCCCAGGTTGTTCTTTTCCTGGAAGTAAAGCATTATTATTCTAATCTACACGTATTATACAGAAAACTATGATTTTTGAAGTGTCTTAGCAGTAAGTGTTCAAAAATGAGCACCTGATCATTGTAGAGAAAACTGTCTCTTTTCAAAAAAGTGGAGTGCTGGTGGTACGTTAGGGAAGACACACATTCTACCCGCACAGCTTATGTATTTTAGTAGATTTAGTAAATTTCTAAATATTACCTAGATTTGAGCCATGTCTTGGCCATGATTAGGAGGGTGTCAGCCCATTTTTTTTCAAGTTGTACACTTCTGCAAACATTCTACTGGCCTTACCACGCTCTGCTGCCATAGACTATATTAGGAGTCATAGTGGAAAATCAGGGATCATGCTTTTTCAGCTCAGTCAATTTTAGCAAATAAGGAATGTCAAACTATTAGTTCCTCACTGTGTATACAGGGAGTGGGAAATACACTTTCTCACCCATGCTTCCTATTCCATTGAGGGGACCTGATTTGCACATATCATATTTACTTTTTCTGGCTGCGATGTGTGTAAGACATGTTTTCAAAGGTTTTTAGTTAACCCTTTTATGACCAGAGGTGATTGAAGCCTAGTAGATGAAGTAGGTGAACAAAACAGAGTGTTCGGCAAAATTGTGGAGAAGAGTCGGGACATCTAGGCAAAATTGGCCATCATGAGTCAATTGGTCGCAAGGTACAATATATGCTTTAAATGGCTCTTGAATGGCTCCCGGAGGCTGGAAAAACTCAAATTATCCTAAGTGTTGTAAAGATGCATAAGGAAAAAGTGGTTTAAATATTGTATACCATAAAAAAGTGGAATATACAAAGTAATGCTGTTTAGTATATTAATTATCAGAATAGGCAAAAAGCAGATGGACACCAACTGAATGCATATGGAAGAATGCATTGGAGTAATGATAAGAAAAGTATGTGCAGCTTTATTAAAGTGGCTCAATGGCAAGCATGACTCCCCAGCACTCTCCTATAGAAAGGGAAAGCGAAGTAAGATTTTTAAAGTATTTTTCAGCAAATAGAAAAGTAAGCAGCAATTAATTTTTTTTTTTAAGTTATGCTATGTGAATAGGAACATGTAACAAATATAAAGTAGGCATTATCCTTATATGGCTGCTAAAGTGGTAATACATGTTACACCATCTGGGTTCACTTGAGAATGCAATTGTTCGCAAGACCAACACAACGTTTTTTGACAGTTTGCCACATAAACCTTTTAGAGGCATCAACTGGTAATAGGACAAGTGCACTGCATTAGGGCAGGAGGTTTTTCAGACAAGCAAAACTAATTTTTAGAATAATGTGGTGTGTAACAACCTGGGCCTCCAACCCTATTACTTCTGCAACTAGACTTCTAAACAACGTCAGTAATATACTTTCTTACAAAGTGCACCCACACATATTATATATTGTTTTTTAGAGGACAGATAGGGCTACATATTTATATCACATATGTGTGTCTAACACCTCACTTAGGACAAATAAAATATAAAAAAAGAGAAAAAAAACGTTAAAAAAAACACTTTTTTCCCAGTTTTGATTTGTAGTATTTTTTTTACAACACCAGCACAGCTAAAAAAATCGTGCCAGCATGCAGGGAGATGTAAGCTGTTATAGCCAGGGGGTGTTCAATTATAGGCCTAAAATGTGCATTTTAACATGTGTGCAGACAAAAACCGCTCTGGCAGCAAAAGAGTAAAGGAGTGATCAATCTCATTATACTGAAAATAAGCAACAATTTGTAAATATTTGAGGGGGGGATTGATCAAAGCTGGAGCAGACAGAATCTGGAGCAGTTGCCAAACCAATCAGCTTCTCTATATTTTGGTCAGTTAAGATTTGAAAATGAAAGAGAGACGCTGATTGGTTGCCGTGCACAGCTGCTCCAGATTGTGTCTGCTCCAGTTTTGATAAATTCCCCTCATTGCATGAAGCAGGTTCATATTATTTAGAAACACGTAGTTGTTCTGCAAAGTCAACAATTAGGGCAGTTTTATATATACTGAAGCTTTGAAACTGAAACCCAAAATACATTTTTATAAATCCCTTTACAGTTTTCATTAGCATTCAAGAGCATAATCTGAGTATTACATTATAATTCTTTGAGCAGTAACACTACAATTCATCAGTATAACAGTACTAATCAATGACAAGGTCTATCAAAAAGAGATGCTTACTGTGAAAATAATGTTCTTGAGCGCACAATGAATTTGAACACATATTCCAGTGCTTTCAAAGTCCTTAAAATTGGCTCACACTGCTCTCCTCTGCTGGAAATATCTAGATATTTCTTCAAAACAGTCATCAGTTTCCTGTCAAGAAAATGTTTCCATATAGTTTACTGTTGCAGTAGTGAAATAAATAAACAATTTTAAACTAGTGCAAAATAATCTTGCAGAATAAGCAAGAATGTTTTAAGAGGAATGTAACCCATATTTTTTAAAATAACAACAAAGACACCTTTAGAAATGTTTAGTAATATTAATCTACAGACAGATACTTATACATAATTGCAGGTTTTTCTATTGCTATTCTTTGCATACCTTAGTTTTTTTTTCTTCCCCATTCGTCTCACAGTGGCCATTTTAATTAAGGAAATATAATTCCCTTTACTTTCTGGAACTCTGGCACATGTAACTAGGACATGTGACCATGCACATCTCAGGGGAGGAAATGCCTTTACTTGAGATTACAGAGGAGATTAGCCAGCAATGCACTGCTGATGTAACCTCCCCAGAATGCAATGCTTGGACACGATTACATCATTTGTGCCAAGGTGGACCAGCAAATGAAAAAAAAAGAAATTGTAAGTAAAATAAAAATATGTTTGTTTAGCTAATGAATGTAAGATGATTTCATATCAGCATGCAAAGCTGTATGCTGATGTGATTTTTAGTCAAAAGGGTAAAGGTCCACTTTAATAACTGATTATACAAACCATCACTAATCACCCAAACTACATTGTTCTATATAAATAAATTATATAACCAACCTTTGTAATGAACACAGAAAAGTCATGTGATCCTGTACATTAAGTAAGGCATAAAAATAATGGAACTTTTTAAATATTTCCAATAAAAATCACTGCAATATTTGCAAACTGCTTTTTTATTTTATAAGTATTATTATTTTAGTGTATGTTCAGCCAAAACCTTTTTCTGCCAGTGTCCCTTATTTCCTGTCTGGTAAAACCATTGATGCAGAACAGGAAGTGAGGTAAATCTCTCTAACAGAGCCCTGGATAGCAGTAAAAATGCAACAGGAGTTGTAATCCTTCCCCACTCTATCCAATACTACAAAAACTGTTTTTGCTTGACATACACTTTAGAGTCTTGACATAAACTCGACATAAAGTGGAACTCCAGGGGAAATGTTTTCTTGTTCCAGAGAAGGTATCTCTGATGCTTTGAAACTAGGTTTTATTCATTCACGTTTGTCTCTGTGCTGTTTTTAGCTGGTCGGTATTTTTTTGTCTTGTAAGCCAATTTTTGGACTAAAGAAAGTATTCACATTTATTCACATTTATTCACATTTATTCTTACTTTATTAATTTAATATATTTAATTTATTACTAAATTTTATTTTTCCAGAAGCGCAGATTTATTTGTTTACATTCATAGGTTTTATTCATGCTGGGTACTACTGTCTGCTAAATTCTGTCAGCATACAATCTAATATTCACATAAACTCAATGGAAAATCATACATGCATATTCTTTAGTTAATCAACCCTATATCTCAGAATTTAGACATGCGGAGTCTGAGTTACTAAAGAAGTAAATATTCACTTCAATTATCCAATCATGTATACAGAAAATTCTTGACCTTTTGATATTGACCAAATACTTATTTTCCACCATAATTTGCAAATAAATTTGTTCCAAATCAGCCAATGTGATTTGTCTGGATTTGTTTTCTCATTTTGTCTCTCATAGTTGAGGTCTACCTATGATGCCAATTACAGGCCTCTCTCATCTTTTTAAGTGGGAGAACTTGCACAATTGGTGGCTGACTAAATACTTTTTTGCCCCACTGTATGTTATAAACCCATGCTTTAAGTTTTGCTGACACTTTTTAATATAACACTCTAATTTTATTTGTTTGATCACTTTAAATGGCGAAACTGTAGATGGAAGATTATTGTTGTTATGCTAGTTATGACGGAAACTTCCAAAGTAAGAAAAGAGTACCAATTGTGTAGATATTTGCAGATCAAGTTCATTTATCATTCTATCCAAATAAGAAAAATAGCAGAGACACCCTTCATTAGGACTAAAAAACATAAATATAAAAAAAATTATATTAGAATAATAGCAACAAGTCTTTGTATATGCGGGATAAACAATTAAAAGGATTATGGCGCATAGTCACAGACAATAGAAAAAATATAGTTTTTATTTTTAAACATACAAAGGGATGCCAGTATCACAATACTGATTCATAATAAATTCAGAAATGCAAAATGTATCAAATTATTTGTTTATCAAACCTGCATTATAAGAATATTCACCCTTGGAAATGATCTTTAGAGAGCTTAAACTTACTTGTAGGCCAAGGTCGCACTGAAATGTTGTTTAATGTATGCTTCCAAAACAGTGTTGAAATGTTGAAATTTTCGATCTGCAATCAGTCCTATGATGTAAATCTGAAAACAGAATAAACGAAAATACTAGTGGTTTTGTATTTGTTTATTTATACTCAGGGCTGAATTCAGAGCTTTTTCAACATCATTATTGCAGTGTATGGAAACCATGGCTTATATGGAGTAGGGTTGGGACAAATTTTCAATCGTCGATTTTAATCGACTAAATCGATTAACTGTTGCAGCTCTAAACTAGACAGTATTAACAAGAAGGTTATGGTGAGAAGGAATAAAAAGAATCAAGGAGCCCACCACTAAACCAGCAAGTATTGTTTTCATTTTATTTTTACAATTGTTTTCTGTATTGTTTTTAAAGGATTTTTTATGGTGTAAAATAAAGCAAAATAAAGCTGAAAATAAGGCATACTATTGTACCCCTGTTCTAATTCCTCTGGGAGGGGGCAGATATTCGGAGGCCTTTTTTTTCTAAAAGGGGCTTCCAGATTGCTATAAGTCCCCCAAAACCCCTACATCCTTTTTGGTTGGCAGGGTGAAGGGAAGAAACCCTTTTCCCTTAATATTCGGGCAAGGTACCTTTAAAGGTACCCCCCATGTTAAAAGGCAGGTGGCCTGATATGTTACAGGACGGGGCAGGGGCGTAAATAGAAATGACAGGGCCCCATAGCAAAATTTTGTATGGGGCCCTTTGATTTCTAGTTATGCCCTTGCAGAGACCACCTGAGATCCCAAACAGCCCATCTGAGAGTGACCCGGCAGAGCCCACCATAGACTCTGCAGGGTCTCAGGTGGGCTGCACACCTCTTACCTGTCAGCCCCGATCCACTGTTCGCCTCAATGGTCGCTGGCAGGCCTCGCCTCCTCCGCCCCTGGGCCCCGCCTCCTACTCCGTTGCCGGGCCCCGCCTCCTCTTCCGCTTCTGATGCCGGGCTCCGCCTTCCTCCCCCACAGCTGCTGGCTGTCACTTACTCAGCAGCGGCTGTGAGGAGGAACGCGCTGCTGCTCAGATCACTGACAGGTTGTCGGTGATCTAACAGCGACATGTTCCTCCTCACACCCGCCAGTGACAGTCAGCAGCTTGAGATGCCATAGCGACCCAGGCGGCCCGCACAGCATCAGGGGGATGTCCTGGCCGGGCCCCCTAGGCCCTGGAGCACCATAGCGGCCGCCTGGGTCACCATGCTTGCTGCCCTCCCTTTCCTGACCACCCAGGATGCATGCCTGGATAAGGATCTGTTGGAATACATGGGGGGTTTGTGGGGAACTTATAGCAATCTGGAAGCCCCTTTAGAGTAACTCAGGGTGATGTCATTAACTTTATATCATCATGACCATATTACTTCAATGACAATGCCTTCGTTTTCCAACTGTTTGTTTACAGTCTAGCAGCCAGTGATTTGGGGCAGATGAACTAGTCAATTAGGGCCAATTTTATTTATTTTTTTGCGGGTCGGTGAATCTCACATAGACTGGCTTTGCATTGAACCCAAATCCCATCCCTACCAGTGGCAGCAAGCACCGAAGTGGCTGCTACTGTAGGGGTAGTGAGTGTGGATCTACATGTTAGGCCTGATTCACACCTAGGCGTTTTTGAGCAGTTGAAAAAGCGCTTTTAATTGCCCAACACAAGAAATTCCATGATTTTCAATGGCCCTTGTTCACACCTGAGCAGAAAAATGCCAGCAGGAAAATTACAAACATCTAAAAAGGTACATGAGCTTCTTTGGGCCGTTAAAAGTGCATTTTTGCCCCATAGACTTCAATGGAAACACCCAAAAACATGTTGTACATTTATGTGAGTGTTTTTGCACATTTAAACACGCATTCTTCCATTGTCCGCAATGTTTCATAAGCTGCCAGTCAAAATGCACGTCTTTATGTACGCGCATACAAATGCTCTTTAAAATGTGCACAACGCGCAAATAACTGCACGCTGGTCATGCGCGTACAAAGGCCTAAATGCAGTGGGAGCAAGTGCCAACGTGTATGTTACTGAAAGTGAAAAATTAGCCATATGGCAGGGGAGGAGATCTTGGTGAAAGAAACAGGTGTTCAGCTGTTGCTAACGCACACTGCAACACAGATCACCTGCAGTCATTGCTTGATTATAGGGATGGTAAGGCTGTGTGAGCCTCCTGCCTCTTTCTCTACCTCTCCCAGTAGGTGGCATCACCCCAGTGCCAGAACTATATAGGCAGTGTTGGGCGTATCACTCCTCTACATAATGCCTGATAGGACATGCCCTGTTGACAGTGCTGTCTGCCACTATTGCAATGTTAAAATATTAACACTGCACATCCATGCTGCACTCTAGCAGCTCTCAGATACAAGCTCTGTCACTACATTCCCTCCCACTGCCTGAACCTGTATTTTACAATACCTATAAGAGGTAAACCCTAACAAAAATGATCTTATTTGCTCGCTTTTGGTCTGTTTAATATATCATGAAATGCGTTCTGTTAAATAGGTGCAAACAAAATACCTGTTGATCGTGCCAGAAATGTAGTAAGCGTTTACCTACTTGTACAATCTACCTCTGCTGCACTGAAATCTCACACACTATTGTCAGCTCTATCCAGTTCTTTCTGTGGACTACAGTACATCCCCTCCCTATGTTATGGAGATGAAAAGAAGAGAAGGTGTTCTTTAGTCCTCACACACTTACTGTGCTAGGGTGACAAAACTGCTCCTCCACAGGTACCGTATAATGAGAAAGTGTTGTCACCGTAGGACAGGAAACATGTTATTGGCAAGATCACCATAAGAAAATAAAGGAGAAAAGCTTGAAAAATTAAAACTAAAGCAGACACTATTTTTAAGGCCTGGTAAGATGCAATATATTAAATCTTTGTTCTTGGGTTTAAGTACACTTTAAGTTTGCTACATATTTTGAACAATTTTCAATAGAGTGTTTAGTCTCTTGCAATATTTGCAGCTTTCTGTGCGTAATATTTTCTTACTTCGTTTCGATGGGATTTCACTGGGAACGGCTAATCATATTCTTATTTATGTGATTTATCAAATGGACTCTCAGATTTTAATTAAGTAAAATATCTGTAGGCTTTGCCTTTTAGTAGTTATGAACCTAAAGTCTTACCAGGGCATCGAAGACAAGGATATCATACTTGCTTGAGTGGGAATGCTCCATCATAATATTAAAAAGAGCATCAAGAGTGTCTTGAAGAAACTACAAATGAAAGAGATAAACCATCGATGTCAAAATATGCATACATATTATTAATGCTTTGCTAGATAATGAAATAGTACCAGTATATGTCCACCACATTCATATTCACTGATAAAGCCTTTGACCCCCTGGGAGCTTCAGGGTGGCCAACCATTCACATACTGTATATGCGGGATTTACGCTGCCTTACATAGATAGTTTTGATATTTATTGTAGCATCACCAAATGAGAGTACATTTATTATTTTCCTTTTTGAAAATACTTTTCTTCTCAAGCTGCGGCTTCTTTCTAAAGAAAACAAACTGTAAGACCTTGCCCACCTTTTATTTTGATGCACCTGCAGTGTACTGGTTTAAACTGAAAGTTCAGTTGGGTTTTAAGTCCATGGTAAACAAGATCCTTTATCATGGGTAAACCCAATATTGCCCACCCCCGTCCCTGGATTGTATGTTTACATACTTTTACAACTTCTTCTCCATCAACAATTTTCAGTTTTTCCAGGTTTTCCTGCAGTAATTCTGGCTTCATTCGCCATTTTAGAAGTCCAAGAAGGCCAACTAAAATAAGATAAGATATTTATTATTTATAAAAGAAAAAAATACATATAAACATACATGTCCATAACTGACTTGTAGAGCTGCACATTAAAGAAATCAAGAATGCACATACAAAGTACAGTTCTAATGTAAATAAAATGTGGTAATTTTTCAGAATAAAAAAGTAGTACAATATTACTGCAAACACAAGCATGCGCATGGAGTGTCTGGGCACACCCTAATCACCCCAAGAGCAACACCGAAACCCAGGGCCTGCGGTACAAGGAGTAGCAACGGCACTGTCAGGGACAAGCCAGTTCGGCATGTAGCAATCTACACGACAGAGTCAGGTGACACTGGACACAGCAAGCCATGCACAGTCAGGACTCGGGGCTACCAGAGCCATGAGGTAGGACTCCCAGACATGAGGTAGATGGCAAATCGGCTTCCGAACTGACACAAACAAGGCTGCAAAAGATCTGGATCCGTCATCAGTGTAGGCAGCTACAGCAAAGAAGAGGATGTGAGTGTGCGAAAATCCTGTTAGGTCTGTGGGGTAATGTCTTTGTATATGTGTATTGAGGGGGGTGGGCAATGTATAGAGAGCAATGTCTGTATATGGGGGAGGGGGGCCATGTCTGTGTATGGGGATCAATGTCTTTGTGGGGGCTTCAATGCCTATATGGCAGGGGAGCAATGTATATGGGGGGTAGTGTTTGTAAATGGAGCATTGTATATGGGGGTAATGTGTGTGTAGTAAGTGACTCTGTAGTAGGTGGCTCAAACAACCAACCCCACCCCCCTTCTGTGGTAGGTGTCTCAAGCCCCATCCCCCTGCTCTACGGTTGGTGGCTCAAATCCCACCTCCTGCCCTTAGGTAGGTGGCTCAAACCCTAATCCCCCCTGTAGTAGGTAGAGGCAGCTCTGCTGCAGTTTGTGGGTTTCCCCTGTCTAGTAGGTGCTGACCCACAAACTGTAGTAGTAGCCACCCTCTAGAAGGAAGGACAGTGTCGTCACAAATTCAGAGATGATTTGAGGATCTACAGATGAGTGATACACAAATAAGCTAAATTTTTATTAATAGTTAGGGTACTTAAATGCATTTTTGAGATGTAATTCCTTAGTTTAGTGTTATTTTAATCTGCTCTGGCTGTCAAATACCCTAGCTATGCCATAGGTATAATGTTTAGAATTGTTCTGCCTCTTGTTTAACAAGCCTTATGTCTAAAGCTGGCCATACACTTTACAACCATCACAAGACTTTCATCTTGCAATGGTTGTAAATGTCAGTCAAAGTACCGCAGCGCTGAATACTGAAAAATGGCCTGGATGGGAAGGGGGTTTAACACCGCGGATGTCAACTGGTAAAAAGCTTGTACGATCTGCCCATCTTGGACAGTCAGATAGTACTTGCGATCATCGGAAGCCTGCCCCGCTGAGGGTAGGGCTTCCGATGACTGCAATGCTGAGCGGGCAGTGTGCGCACACTGGCCTATTCGGAATTTGTCTTACGAGCAGGCCACGAACCCACCGATTTTCGGCTGGTTTTCAAACAATGCTCATAAGACAAAAGACGTGCGACCGTACAGTAGAAACGGTAGCACGCCTTCCATACACCTGCCGATTATCGTACGATCGCAGGATTTCCCGTGATTATCGTACGATAATCGCCAGGTGTATGGGCACCTTTAGAAGCCATGACCTACACTCACACACAGGAGAGCTGTCAAGTTTACAACAGCTGTATACAAGTTGGTAAAAATGGCTTTTATAGTTTTGGATGCATTGTTGCATTTGGAGTGGTAGGCTTGTTAGTCAGGAACTGTTAGTTAGAAACTGACCTGAGTTTACTTAGTGGCTTGGATGAGCAGATGTTTTGTTTGTTTCATGCTTTGGACTTGCTGTACAAAGCCATCTTGCTTTGAAACTGTTTGTTTGCTGTCTTGCTGAATAAAAGTGCAGAACAAGCCTGCTTAGATTGTAGCTAAGTGTCTCTTCTGGCGCTTGTCCCCCTTTCAACTGATAAACTAGCAGGGATTACCCAATGAATCATAAACTGAGCCTGATTTCTACCACATGATGCATCATTAAAAATACATAAATAAAGTGTAGGCAGTTTTGAAAAGGACTTACCATTCTGTGTCAGTTTGGTAGAACATACAAGAGTTGCAACTGAAAAAGCATCACGTGAGCTAACAGACAACCCTCCAGAGCTGCTGTTGTTTCTGCTGAATGTTGAGCCCTTAGTGTCCATTTGATTGCGAGTGGAAGGAAGGGATAAATATGTAACGGCATCTTCCATCTTCTTGCTATCTCCCTAGAAATAGTACCCCATAGGTTTAAACTATCAGTTGTGGTTTTACAGGTATAAATATTGCTTAATTAGCTGCTGTTTTGTGCATTTGGAAAGAACTGGCAAAGGTGCCTCACACACCATTGTTCTAAGAGATAAGCAGAAACACTGTGGGGGGAATTTATCAAAACTGGAGTAGACAAAATCTGGAGCAGATTCGCACTGCAACCAATCAGCTTCTATGTCTCATTCTCAAATCTCACCTGAGCAAACTGAAGAGAGATGCTAATTGGCTGCCATGGGCAACTGCTCCAGTTTCCTTTTGCTCCTGATTTGATAAATTCCCCCATGTGTTTCCAGTTGGCACAATGCAAAATTCAAAAGGCTGCCAATTTATGGTAAAAAAAAATGCTGTCACTGAATTTATTTGAATCAGATACTACAGATCATCATATTCACTGGCTTCCTGCGAGGGATCCTTTCCTTGTAATTTCACTAGATATCATTATTGCACCCATTACCACCCAGGTTCAAGCTCCAAATACTTAGTGACAGGTAAAACGTATAAAATTACGTAAACGGTGATACACAGTACAGTCCATAACAGTTCATACATGTAACTTGATAAATCACAGATTGTGTATTACAGTTTATTTACCAACTCTATTATTTTGGCTACACTACCAGAATCATAAAAGACTATATTAAAGATTCCAATAGACCTCTAACTAGTAGTTCATCACTTTGTTCCAAACATTTCTTAAAAAAACATGGGGAAATAGGTCAACTTTTACATTTCAGGTAATACAAAAAGTCCTTCTAAATAAATGTGGCAGTGAAAGGAAAGTAAAATGACAGGCCAGAAGGGCCTGTTGCATTTCTGCAATACAAACCAGAATGTCTTTGGGTTTAAATGCTCAATGGCACAGCAGTTTATTTACGGCATAAATATAATTTTGATGTAAACAACAGGTATATGTGAGTGCCAGGTTTGGACCTCTGTTTTTTTTATTGCATATTTAATAAAACTGAATATTTTATAAATGACTGGTTGGGACAGAGAACTAGCATCATCCAGGATGGAAAGTAGACAAATGTTGACTGCAAGAGATTACAAAGCCAACCATCTGTCTATTGTTCTATTTTTTTTGTCACTACACTTACCTACTGTAAATCATAGACACTCATAGACACTGTCCAACAAAAGCAGAAGTAGGATAAAGTAAAGAGAGTGGAACAGAACACTTAACAAGACAGAATCAGGAAGCATACCATTATAAAGAGCCTGAACGGTTCCTATGTACAAGACACAGTAGATATAGCATAGCTATAAAATAGGATGATTGGAAGCAAACTGCCCAGACAAGCTTGGGTGGCAATATAAAGTGGTTGTTCAGAGTGAACCCTTTTAAATGTTCAATATTTCTGCATAAATATGATCTAAAACATAATCTATTTTTCATGCAACTAAAAATAATGAGAACCCAATTTAATAAGGGATTAAAAAACACAACACGTGGTCATTTATTGTATTTTCTTAGGAACATTTTCCAAAGCTACTTTACATATATTTGTGCATAGCAAAAGTATCCAATCTTCACTTCCAACAACTGGTGTGCCTCCCCCCATGGGTAGCAAGAACTGCAATTTAGAGTTTATGGTAACTTTTGAACAATCCTTCAAAATGGCTTAGATCATTTTTAGACCAATTCTTCTTACGGAACAGTTTCGACTCGCAGATGTTGGTGGGCTTCCTCTCATAAACTGCTCGCTTCAGGACCATAACCAACATTGCTATAGGATTAAGGTCAGGACTTTGGCTCAGCCATTGCAAACCGTTAACTTTTGTATGCTTTAACCATTTTTTTGTAGATAAGCTAGTGTCTTTCTGCAGGATCCAATTTTACTTGAAGGTTAGTTCATAGATGAATGCCCTAATATTTTCCATCAGCATTTTCAAATGCAATTCAGAATTTACAGTTCCATCAATGACAGCAAGCTGACATGATCTTGAGGCAGCAAATAAGACTTAAACCATAATACCTCCACCACCATATTTCACAGATAGGATCAGGTTATATGATGGAATGCAGTGTTTGTCTTTTGCCAAACATAAAAAATTTTTTCAAGCCAAAAAATTCACTAAAATCCAATGAGGTCTTTATAAAACCGTAAGCATAAAGCTATGTTCCTTTTTTAATAGTAGTGGATTTCACCTTGCAATCATGCCATACATACAATTGTTGTTTGTTGCTGCAAATGCACAAGAGGCCTTTAGTTTCTTAACCTGGGTATGCACTGATAATTTTTTTTGGATCAGCCTGTGAGGCCTAATGAGAAAAATCTGACAGATTCCTCCATCCACACTAACAGCATAAGGCCTCATTCACACAGCTAAGTGTCGGCCCATACAGGTGTGCACGGCCGTATCGGACCGTTCCCGGGAAGGACAGGTTCTGCGTGTGATTGTACACAGCAGCCTGTTCTTCTCTATGGTAGTACGTGGCCATATGCTCACCCGAGCTGCACATCCGTGCATGTGTGGGTGTCTGTACTCGTACGCAGACAGGATGGATCCTTTCTGCATCCGAGCAATGACACCCACACAGATGTGCAGTTCTGGTTAGCGTACGGCCTCTTACTCCCATGGAGAAGATCAATGGTAGTCGTACAATCACATGCTGCACCTGTCCTTCCCGGGAACGGCCTGATATGGCCATGCAAGCCGCACAGATCTGTACGGGCCGAAATTTAGCTGTGTGAATGAGGCGTAAATGGATAAATCTCCTACTGTATCCTTTTGTATTCTAACAGACGGGCCCACCACTATAGGAATACCCAAACGGTGCATGCAGCTGATTGGGCGCAAGCAATGATGACCCGAGAATTTTTCAACATTTCCTTCAACAAAAGTCAGTCTAACCATACACTTTTGTTGAGAAGATAGGGCCATCTACGGATCGATTTTCTGTTATTGCCAGCTGAATGGGCTGAAATTCAATTCTTATGTGCCAATCTTGAGACTTTAGCCTGGGTTTCTTTGAGACCTCTTGGAGTAATTCACACCTTGCTCTTGGTGTGATCCTTGTTGATTGAAAAGTTATAATAATGTTGAATGGCCTCCATTTGTACACAATCTGCTCGACAGTTGACAGATGGAGTCCAAACTTTCAACAAGTGTTTTTCTGAGGTTTTTAGAAATCTTCTTTGTTTGAATCATGACACACTTTCACAAACCTGTGTTGTTAAGACTATACTTGCACGAAGACTTGTGAAGACCAAGATTCCTATTATTGAATAAGGCAGTGTTATTTATGAACTGCACAGATGCTTTATTAATGAAATGAACAGAGATTCTTAGAGGTTTACATACTTTACCACACAAATATGTAACTTGCAATATTTTTCCTCAATAAATAAATTAACTATCATTTTTTTAACTCTTTTTTTGTTTAATTAGGTTCTCCTTATCTAGTTTTACCAAGATACAGCTTTAGGTTATATTTATGCAGAAATATTCAAAATGGATCACAAACCTTATAG